TCAAGATTTGGTCCAATTTTTGTAAATCGTTATCTATCCCTAGTTCCTTTACATCTTTCTTAAATTTGGTTTGAATTTGCAAATATACCCACCAATCTAATGTTATCCCTTGTTCTTTTAGTTTGTCCAATGTTTTTAATTCCCCCGTTCATCTACTAATTCTTTGTATCTAATCATTTTTTTAATATCCCTTATATTTGGATATAATATAGCTTCTATGGGTGAGATCCAATTTGGTCTTTTCAAATAATGCTTTTTTAAAAAAATTTCTCCCATGTTTATAATAGTGAGTCCCTTTTCCGATGTCTATGGAAATAGGAATGAATCTTGTTCTTTTTATCCCATAAGAAGGCATGCCACCCAATTTGGAGATCATGACCTTCTATCACCAAAATTATTTTATTTTTTAAGTTTATCCACTCCTTAACCCATAGTAAAATTGCTGCTTGATAATATGTTTCCAAGGGGAGTCCAAGGCCGCCTCTGGTTCTACTATCTTGTAACGTCTTCAATTTTATTTTTGCTTTTTTCCCCATCCATATAAATTTCATTACTGTCTTATCTAATTCCTAAAAAAAAAATTCTTATCCAATTTTTCACAGTATAATTACTTAATAGACACTGGAATCCTTGGTGCTCTCTAAATTTGGTTGTTTGCGTGCAGATGTTTCATTATCCAACCAGGTAATATCACTTATGATATTACCTTGTTGGATAATGAAACATCTGTAAGCCATTAACCAAGCTCAGAGAATACCAAAGACTCCAAAGTTCAACCCAGAGTTATGTATACTGTCTTCTATGGGAACTTAAGACTTTGTTTTAAAAACTGGTAATCTCACTCTTTTCAGTGATTCACCCTGCATAATCAATCAAAAACTTGTTAGGTCACTTTGGTCATTTCCATACCTGACATTCAGTTGAACATGCCCCTCAGAAGGAAAACAGAAATATAAGTTATGGTTGTGATGAGAGGGATTTATATTAATGGAATTTAATGCCATCTGAAATGGAAGCGCATTCTTGCACTTATTGCTAGATTGAAAAAAAAAAACCAATATGAAATCCTAACTACAGAAACACCTTTTGGTTTCTTGGTAGCCTGTCCTATCTTTATTTTAAAAAGTCAGATATGGCCAATATTTGGATAGGACAACTCCAGGGAACAGCAGTACTGCAGGCCAGACAGGGAAGTAGAAAAAAGAAACATTCCAGGTAAAGACAAATTACTGCTGTATTGCAGCCAAGGAAACTATAGGAACATATAATCAATCAACAACTTGAAGGTGAATTTACTTTTCCGTATTCTGTAGCAGATTTAGTATTAATACATTTGACAGACTGGCAACAGATCCTGGGGGAAAAGTCTTGCTAAAGATATGTTAAAAGCAGAAACGTTTAGAATTACAAACGACAGTTTAATTCTTCTTGCCAACTATCTGTTTCTGTTATTTTGAGATAAATCAGCTCCTCATATTTGAAAAGCTGAAGGTCAGAAACATTTTAAGATGAACATATATTTTCTAGGATTTTGATAAGAATCCTATATTTTATAAAAGCAATTCCTATAGAATGTAGTACTGTAAAAGTCCATACTTGGTATTTTAACATACTGTAGATACCGTCAAAGGGGAAGACGATTCAACATTTGCACAAGTTATCTCATCATCCTAAAAATTTGAAAAGTAAACCTAAAAAATCAAGCCTTGACAGGAGAACAAGGATAATTTAAATATCCAAATATTTTTTTCAAACAGTACTTAAATTCACTTTGGATCCTGCATTTTGATTCCATGATCACATACCACATTATAATCAGAATTAAAGAACACAAATCACTTACTGCACATTAGGCTTGATGAAAGGAAAAATAAATAAAAAGGTAAAGGCTGGAATATATGACTTAAACTGTAATTTAGAGGCAATTTCCTTTGAGACATTGATTTTCAAATGTCGAATGATGCTTAAATGTTTGTAAGCCCTTTTCAATTTTTAGTATTTCTATATAAATATGACCTAAAACGTGATTTGTCCTTCATGCAAGTTCTAAAAACTAGATAGAGAACTCAATTAAATTAATGGATAAAAAATAGTAGTCCACCCTTAGTCACCACAGCTGGAATCGTCACCTTTATCATTAAGTGTGTGAAGAACAAATCACATTTTAGATCACATTTATGCAGAAATATTCAAAATGTAAAAGGATTCAAAAACATTGAAGCAAATAGCTTAAAATGTGTATAGATAGCTCCAGAAATAGCCATCAATGAGACACAATGTGAATTACATCCTAGATATGCTTGTTTGTGTCCTTAAGTCAATAATATATTATGTCTAGAGAGTGTTTTAAGAGAATCTAATACCCTTCAGATATTTGGAAAGGAACAGAAGAGGATGAAATGGTTAGATAGTGTCATCAATGCAATGAACATGAATTTGGGCAAACATAGAAAGATAGTGTAGGACAAGGGGGCATGGAGTTGCGAAGAGTTGGATACAACTCAGTGACTGAACAACAATAATAACACAATGATACAACCAAGTCTCCACTTGTACAGGTGAAACTCGAAAAATTAGAATATTGTGCAAAAGTTCATTTATTTCAGTAATGCAACTTAAAAGGTGAACCTAATATATGAGATAGACTCATTACATGCAGAGCAAGATAGTTCAAGCCGTGATTTGTCATAATTGTGATGATGATGGCTTACAGCTCATGAAAACCCCAAATCCACAATCTCAGAAAATTAGAATATTGTGAAAAGGTTCAATATTCTAGGCTCAAAGTGTCCCACGCTAATCAGCTAATTAAGCCATAACACCTGCAAAGGGTTCCTGAGCCTTTAAATGGTCTCTCAGTCTGGTTCAGTAGGAATCACAATCATGGGAAAGACTGCTGACCTGACAGTTGTGCAGAAAAACATCATTGACACCCTCCATAATAAGGAGGGAAAGCCTCAAAAGGTAATTGCAAAAGAAGTTGGATGTTCCCAAAGTGCTGTATCAAAGCACATTAATAGAAAGTTATGTGGAAGGGAAAAGTGTGGAAAAAAAGGGTGCACAAGCAGCAGGGATGACCGCAGCCTGGAGAGGATTGTCAGGAAAAGGCCATTCAAAAGTGTTGGGGACTTTCACAAGGAGTGGACTGAGGCTGCAGTCAGTGCATCAAGAGCCACCATACACAGACGGATCCTGGACATGGGCTTCAAATGTCGTATTCCTCTTGTCAAGCCGCTCCTGAACAACAAACAACGTCAGAAGCGTCTTACCTAGGCTACAGAAAAACAGAACTGGTCTGTTGCTCAGTGGTCCAAAGTCCTCTTTTCTGATGAGAGCAACTTTTGCATCTCATTTGGAAACCAAGGACCCAGAGTCTGGAGGAAGAATGGAGAGGCACACACTGCAAGATGCTTGGAGTCCAGTGTGAAGTTTCCATGGTCTGTGTTGATTTGGGGAGCCATGTCATCGGCTGGTGTTGGTCCACTGTGCTTCATTAAGTCCAGGGTCAATGCAGCCATCTACCAGGAGATTTTGGAGCACTTCATGCTTCCTTCTGCAGACGAGCTTTATGGGGATGCTGACTTCATTTTCCAGCAGGACTTGACACCTGCCCACACTGCCAAAAGCACCAAAACCTGGTTCAATGACTGTGGGACTACTGTGCTTGATTGGCCAGCAAACTTGCTTGACCTGAACCCCATAGAGAATCTATGGGGCATTGCCAAGAGAAAGATGAGAGACATGAGACCGAACAATGCAGAAGAGCTGAAGGCTGCTATTGAAGCATCCTGGTCTTCCATAACCCCTCAGCAGTGCTATACAGGCTGATAGCTTCCATGCCATGCCGCACTGAGGCAGTAATTGCTGCAAAAGGGGCCCAAATCAAGTACTGAGTACATATGCATGCTTATACTTTTCAGAGGTCCAATATTGTTCTATGTAAAATCCTTGTTTTATTAATTGCATGTAATATTCTAATTTTCTGAGATTGTGGATTTGGGGTTTTCATGAGCTGTAAGCCATCATCATCACAATTATGACAAATCATGGCTTGAACTATCATGCTTTGCATGTAATGAGTCTATCTCATATATTAGTTTCACCTTTTAAGTTGAATTACTGAAATAAATGAACTTTTGCACGATATTCTAATTTTTCGAGTTTCACCTGTAGAGAGCCAAGGAAATAACCTTGAGGGACTGGATTGAGAGCACTATCAAAACAAAGTGACTGAATCCAGAGCAAAAAATGTATTGCAATATGAGTAAATGTTTCAGGCAAGCAGTCCCTAGTTCTCATGAAGATAAAGGAAAGGAGAGAAAAGCACATTCAGACTTACAAAGTTCTGTACTACAGCTTTACAATAACAGCATAATTGACTTACATGGCACTGGTTTTTTGGTCTGATCTAACTGGAAATTTTGACATCACTACTGCTATCCAAAACTGAGCCTCTACTGATATAGAGCAAATTTCCTTCTAAGTTTCAGAATGTTCACAATAACTGACTCTCTTCCTACAGAGAAGCTTATTTCCATTTTCTCCTTTGCAGTACCAACAATCCAAGTACATCCCATCGTCCATGTGTTTGTACATTATATTTGAAAAGGGCAGAAGTCGTATGTTTAAATTTCTTCTTAGGTGTCAAAGCCAAAATATTTCAAATTTATAATAACTAGAAATAGTCATACTTAACAAAATGCAGCTGTAGAGTTTAGAAAACATTGTTTAATAATGTCTTCTATAAAAGGATGTGAGTGATGTCTACAATCTGCATCAGAACTTTCTGCATCTCCAGGTCAAACCTTACTTTATTGCACCAGTTACAGAAAGCTGTTCACATAGAAGCACTAACATTGTAAATGAAATATAAACCAACAATAACCTGACTATGACATTCATAAAACAACGTGATTTGCATACTGGTAGCTGGCATCTTCCCAGTTTTATTGTCTCCCTCGCTCCCCAGATCCCATTTCCTCCAAGAAGAAATAATTTACTTGAATTGCTGATCTTTGGTGCTCCTTGTTTTTGCCAGAAATCGTTCAGCCAGCTTCTCTAAATTCCTGGAGTAATCCATTTCAATTTCAGCTTTCTTGCGAAAAAAATCCTGCAAATCTTGGAGCAGTTGGACTCTCAGTTCACATTGCTGATCAAGACATTTCAGTTGTTCAATAAGCTGGGCTCGAATCTCTGCAAAACAAGGGAGGGAGGGAATTACTCATGAAAATAGCATTAAAACAGAAAATGATATGAACTACGGTATCTGAATATATTTTCTGCCTGTATCTGTTAAAACTAAGTGTCTCTAAAGTCACATAGCAACCACAAGAACCATTCTAAGCTTCCTAAAGAAAAAACAACAACTAAATATGCATTGTGGTATGAGAGACATAAACTATGAATTATTACATTGGTTTAAACTCAATCAGTTTCTGAAACACACAGAATGATCAAGATGTCTAAGATTATAAGATTCTGAAGATAAACTAGGATAACCTCATCATAGTTACTGTCTTCAAATCCTTGGAAAAAGGGTAGAATATAAGTGCAAAAAGAAAAAGATATTAAAAACAAATTTTAAAATGAAAGTTAAAGTTCCTCTTGATCTTCATATACCAACCAAATCCCCTTTCTGTTACTCATTGGGTCAGCTGATTTTTTTAAAAAAATCCACCAGTTACTATTGTGCATTATATAAAATAGCCAATGAATAACGAAACAACCTGATTCCAATGCAATCTACTACAAGGATCTTTTTTACTTGTAAAGTTTATATTAATCAACCATGCCAAGCATACATTAGCAATCATTTTCCAAATATGTACTGAATCTCAATCTAGATGAAGGCCACAGGGTTGGATAATGTTCCAATTCTCCACTCTTAGCTCAAATTTCCTCTAGAAACACTATTAAATTCCTTTGCAGACTATTCCTATGGCAAAACCAAAGCACTGATCATGCCATACATTTCCCAGAAGATACCAATTTGGGACTATTCACGCTGGGTCTCCAACTGCGACATTGCAATTAAGCACAGCACATCAAATTGTGAATGGTTCGCCTTTGAAAAGTCCAACAAATTTGCATGCCCAGTTGGGAAAGGTCACAAGAAAGACAGTTTCATTTTTCATGGAAAGAATGCCTTTGAGCAAAATTTGCAAGCAGATTATTTTTGACTGCATGCAGGGTGTTTTGAGTACAGATGATGCTGGTGGGTAACATGCTATTTTTTAAAAATCTGTCCTGAAAATATTTCAATAAGGTTACCCAATGTTTGCAGTATAATTTCAGAATTTACTCTCACATATTCCCAGTACATAGAAAACCTAAGTTAACTAACAATGTGGTACTGAACCTTGAAATTCACAGCATTTTTCTTCGACTTTACAAAGAAATCTTACATGTTATTACTTTTAGCTGTGAGATGCTAAGTTGTTTCATGCCATGAATATCTCTATCTTATTCTCCAATCCCTTCAATTATGTCTTTTCCTCTTGACATCCAGGAGCACACAAATGCTAATCAAAGATGGCTGATGTTGCTGGATGTTTGCTGCAATCTTTTTGAGCTTTATTCAAAATTGAATTTATATTAAATACATGTATTCCTTGACTTACGACCACAACTGGGACCAGGATTTCCATTGCTAAGCAAGGCTTCCATTGTTGAGCAAGGTTAAATGAATCACATCCAATTTTACAACCTTTTTTCACAGTTGTTAATCACTGCAGTAAATAAGTGAATAAAACAAATTTGGCTTCTCCCCTTGACTTTGTTCGTTAGAAGTCAGCTGGGAAGGTCACAAATGGTGATCATATGACCCTGGGACACTGCAAACTTATACATACATGTCAGTTGCCAAGTGCCTGAATTTTCTTCATACGAACATGGAGAAGCTACAGCAGTAGTAAGTGCAAGGACCGATTGTAAGTAATCTTTTTCAGTGTCATTTTAAGAATGGTTGTAAACTGAGTACTATCTGTAATACCAGTAAGACAGCATAGCATTTAACATTCAGTATATTTCTGCCCTTTTTATAGATACAGATCATCTATGTAAAAAACTTGATGGAAATTGTTTCATTCAGGAAAAGATGTGTTTGCCAAGTATTTCACTTTACAACCTTACTCTTTTTTTCCTTTCTTGTATTCAACAAACACACAAATTATAAATCTTTATCTAGATGAGATATAATTTACTGAAAAAAAGCCTACAGCAGCATTTCTTAACTTGTTGCTTTTCATATAAAACACCTGGTCAGGAATTGCATCTTACTAAGGAAATCCACATTGCACACAATTTCCTGAGACGAGGGAATGTAATTTTGCTTGGAAGGGTGGTTTGAAAGGGCAAGCTGTCTCTTTTTGGGACAAGGATCAAGCCTGAAAGAAAGGCCAATCCAAGAAGAAAATGCACTCCATCAATCATTTCTTTTAACAACTGATCAGAAGGATTTAGCTGCTCAAAACTTCTCATACTGTAGTATAGATACAATTTCATAGTTATCCATTATCAAAATCCATGACCAAAAATTGTAGCCCCATGAAACGTTAATGTGTCGATACAATAATCCAATGTAAACAGACTCAAAATTCACATTTGACCAAATTGTAACGTGCCCTTTCTTCTCCCTTTAATTTATCTTATCTTATGTGCTCTTGTTTATAAGATAATCAAGATCCAATATATAACACATCTGGAGTTAAAGCATGAATACTAATTTCAGATCAATGATATACACCAACGAATGAGCCCTCCCCCGCTCTTTCTCACTTTGTCACTGAGAACCTTACATATAGTGCTATTCAGCCTCTACCTGTTCTATATATACAGGTTACATGCTTTGTTACAATTCTATTCTGCATTCTGCAGCTCTACTAACAAATTATTTCTTGAGCAACCAGATCCCATGGAAATGCTGAAGTGTTAGATTTTATTACTTATAGTATGAATAAACGAGATCTTTAATCTTTTGAAGTCCATGCAGAAAATAAACTGCTAATTATATTATTTAATTAATTTTGTTTATAAGTTTTTTCTGTTAATTAATATGCTATCCAAAACATTCCAATTGCTAGCTCTAGAAATAATTCATTATAATATTCAGCACCACCTTCTACCTTCAGTGGACTGTTTCAGATAAACATTGCAATAATAATAAACAACATTCAACAATAATTTCGATGATTTTCAAATTAAATATTTGAAGGCAAGAGAAATCATTTTGAAAAAAGTATACAATAATTTGATACAATATATTTCAGAAGAATCTACTATATTACAAAGCAGCATGTATTAAGAAGAATATTATTTCAAAAGCCCACGACCTACTCACCCTACAATGTGTCCTCTGAATTATGAACAAGTCTTGATTATGTAAACTAACATTTGCAGCTACAATAATCTGACATGCATATACAAGAGCCAACTTCTAAATGAAGCAGATAAGCTCTTTTGCTTCTTCAGATATCTATTATGTCAAGACAAGTACTTTACAATAATCAACACTGCATTACTGTTTGCATAAAAAGGAAATTAACAGCTGACTGAGTTCCTGGCAGCAACATATAAGAGTTCATTGAAAATCTACATATCCTACTACAGAAGCATAGAAGCATGAACTATAGGTCTTGTTCATAACTTTCTCTTTTTCAGCAATGTTTTGTTCTGGTTGCATGTAAAGAATGTCAGGGGTGTTGGAATTTCCTGAAACTCAGGTAACTTCTAAAAGTATATAATGTCTTTTTGTAATCCTGTCACTTATGTAAACAAGAGGGCTATTCAGTCTACTGTTACTGCCAGGACAAAGTGCAGCTAGTGGATCACACAATACAGTTTGCAGGGGGTGAAATACATCTTTGCAAGTTCAGTATGAAAGCTCAAGGAACTTGGAACTTGAACGATACCCCATAAATCAGAGACAATTTAAATTAAATTGGAATGGAATGCTTCTCTATTTTTTTAAGAATTCTGAATCCATTATGATGATGATATTTTAACACCTACCATAATAGCAATAGCACTTAGACTTATATACCGCTTTATAGTGCTTTACAGCCCTCTCAAAGTGGTTTACAGAGTCAGCATATTGCCCCCAACAATTTGGGTCCTCATTTTACCCATCTCGGAAGGATGGAAGGCTGAGTCAACCTTGAGCCTGGTGGGATTCGATCTGCCAAATTGCAGTAGGAGTAGCTTGCAGTACTGCACTCTGACCACTGCACCACCGAGTAAGAACAAATAAGGAAAAGACCTAACTTGAAGCATGAAGTTTAAATATGAAATATAAATAACAAGTTAGCCTACGACACATATAATAAACCTTTCCTGGTAATATTGAAAAGCTTTCCTATCTACTCACATTTAGGGAGAGTATGGACAACTTGCAACTGGAGTTATTCTCATGGTTATCCAAAAGGTGCTTTTTCAAGAGGCAATTGGACTTCCTTGTTTTTCTTTGAAGACATTTTGCTTTTCATCCAAGAAGCTTTTTCAGTTTCTTCAGAAATGAAGAGGATGCGGGAAGTAAAGGGCAAAGTGGCTCCTAAGTTAAGAGAATGGCTCCAACAGATCCCAGGATATATGAGCGTGCACTGCTAGGAACAGTGTGCAGAACCTCAAACTACCAGGCTTTAAGAAGGAGATTTTCATTCCCATTCCCATTCATATTCATTTTCTCTCTCTCTCTCTCTCTCTCTCTCACACACACACACACACACACACACATACAATCTTTCAAAATTGCACTTTAAAATATCTTTAGGTCAGTAAAATCCTGCCTTATAACTAGCAATGCATGAAGTTTGAGAAAAAAATGAAATCTAGTTCGCGATTCTGATTTTTAAATTAGTATTAATATATTAATTTTCTGAATGAGACATTTTCTACTTGAGTCCTCTTTCAAACAGATTTTTAAATTCCGCTGCTTTATGATTTTCATGTTTTATCACACTTTCACTAGTTTCAAAGAAACTAACAAGAAGGATAGGTGCAAAGAATGTCTGCGTCCTTAACATAAACTCAGCATATAGCGAATTTAAAATCTTCAGATCCCTGCTGAGCCTATTTCAAGTAGTTAGTGCTGGAAGGTGCCTTATATGATTGAAAATACTGTAGCATTTTAGTAATCCATTGTCCATGAATATATATGTTCCATTTAACAAATATTAAAACAGTCAACTATACTGAAC